AAAAAAAAAAAAAATTAATCTGTGGTGCTTATTTACACTATATCTAGATCCTCCCCTGCTCCCATTCTGATTAAGTACATGAGAACTTGTTTGCCTTTTAACAAAATTTACTTTCACTTTGAGGTAGCAGTATCATTTTGAGAAATAATAGTATTCAGTGTCCCAAGCAATGGACAAATCATCAGAAGAATAGTATTAAAAAAAGAGGACAGAGGGTGAGGCCTGTGGCTGGTCCCATATACTGAGGTTGGCGGGTTGGAACCGGCCCCAGCCAAACTAACAACAACAACAACAAAATAGCCAGGTGTTGTGGCGGGCGCCTGAAGTCTAGCTACTCAGGAGGATGAGGCAAGAGAATCACCTAAGCCCAAGAGCTGGAGGTTGCTGTAAGCTGTGATGCCATGGTACTCTACCAAGGGCAACAAAGTGAGACTCTGTCTCTTAAAAAAAGAAAAAAAAGGAGGACAGAGAGAGGAAGACAAAAAGTATAAGATCCTGGGCTTTGATTGTGTTGGAGGGGTTGCTCTGAAGATGATCTGATCCAGTGTTCATCCCTCTGACCATAAACTAGAGTGCCGCTTTTTCGCAACGGGTTTGCCCCCAGAACACAGGTGTTGTGAAAACCGCCCATACAATCCAAAATGGGGAAGGAAAAGACTCATATCAACATCGTTGTCATTGGACACGTAGATTCGGGCAAGTCCACCACTACTGGACATCTGATCTACAAATGTGGTGGCATTGACAAGAGAGCCATTCAAAAATTTGAGAAGGAGGCAGCTGAGATGGGAAAGGGCTCCTTCAAGTATGCCTGGGTCTTGGATAAACTGAAGGCTGAGCGTGAGCGTGGTATCACCATTGATATCTCCCTGTGGAAATTTGAGACCAGCAAATACTATGTGACTATCATTGATGCCCCAGGACACAGAGACTTTATCAAAAACATGATTACAGGCACATCTCAGGCTGACTGTGCTGTCCTGATTGTTGCTGCTGGTGTTGGTGAATTTGAAGCTGGTATCTCAAAGAATGGGCAGACCCATGAGCATGCCCTTCTGGCTTACACACTGGGTGTGAAGCAACTAATTGTTGGTGTGAACAAGATGGATTCCACTGAGCCGCCCTATAGCCAGAAGAGATACGAGGAAATCGTTAAAGAAGTCAGCACTTACATTAAGAAAATTGGCTACAACCCTGACACAGTAACATTTGTGCCAATTTCTGGTTGGAATGGTGACAACATGTTGGAGCAAAGTGCAAACATGCCTTGGTTCAAGGTGGAAAGTCACCCGGAAGGATGGCAATGCCAGTGGAACCATACTGCTTGAAGCTCTGGATTGCATTCTGCCACCAACTCATCCAACTGACAAGCCCTTGTGTTTGCCTCTGCAGGATGTCTACAAAATTGGTGGTATTGGTACTGTCCCTGTGGGCCGAGTGGAGACTGGTGTTCTCAAACCCAGCATGGTGGTCACCTGTGCTCCAGTTAATGTTACAACTGAAGTAAAGTCTTTGGAAATGCACCATGAAGCTTTGAGCAAAGCTCTTCCAGGAGACAACGTGGGCTTCAACGTCAAGAATGTGTCTGTTAAAGATGTTCGTCGTGGCAATGTTGCTGGTGATAGCAAAAATGACCCACTGATGGAAGCAGTTGGCTTCACTGCTCAGGTGATTATCCTGAACCATCCAGGCCAAATTAGTGCTGGCTATGCTCCTGTACTGGATTGTCACACAGCTCACGTTGCCTGCAAGTTTGCTGAGCTGAAGGAAAAGATTGACCACCGCTCTGGTAAAAAGCTGGAAGATGGCCCCAAATTCCTGAAATCTAGTGATGCTGCCATCGTCAATATGGTTCCTGGCAAACCCATGTGTGTTGAGAGCTTCTCAGATTATCCTCCTCTGGGTCGTTTTGCTGTTCATGACATGAGACAGACAGTTGCTGTTGGTGTCATCAAAGCAGTGGACAAGAAGGCTGCTGGAGCTGGCAAGGTTACCAAGTCTGCCCAGAAAGCTCAGAAGGCTAAATGAATATTATCTCTAATACTTGCCACCCCAGTCTTAATCAGTGGTGGAAGAACGGTCTCAGAACTGTTTGTTTCAATTGGCCATTTAAGTTTAATAGTAAAAGACTGGTTAATGATAACAAGGCATCGTAAAACCTTCAGAAGGAAAGGAAACTGTTTTGTGGACCATTT